CCCCAAAACCCCAAAACCCCAAAACCCCAAAACCCCTGTCGAACACAAATTAGTTGAAAATAGTCATTATAGTCATTACTTAAGATTTCAATCTACGCTTTAAAGAGAGCTTCAGACTTGGAAACTGAATATCAACATTCCGTTGAACTGTAGGAGAGAGGTATCTGTTCCGGCGGTCTTTAAGCTTGCGGTGAAGTTCCCGATTCAGCCCCATTGTTTCATGTCTACACTGTTCAAATTTCCCCATCATATCAATTTTGTATTCCTCAATCTGGTCTTTTATACCCTCACTAAGGCTTCTAATATGGTTGTTCTCCTTCTTGGTCTGTTTCTTAACCTAAATTTATTAAGAATGGTGCATTACTGTGTTAATATCCTTGCTTCATGATTCCAGCACTGAACTAATTTTATGAAACTTAGATGCTAATTTTGTATATGCTGATTTCAGATTATTCACCGAGAGCTTGAAAGACCCGAATTCAGAATGTGCTGACTCTAGAGCTATATAAACGTTAGCTGCTTAGTACCTTACCTTCACAATTCTTTTAGTGAAGCTATCAATTTCGAGGATTTTCTCATGAAAGTCCACGATTCTTTGGTCTACTTCTTTCTTGACCTTATCAACTTTTGCATAAATCTCCTTGTTGTCTGTTTTGACTTCCTTGTCCTTTGCGGTGACTCTCTCTTTGATATTATGGATCTCCATATTGACTTTATTGATCTCTGGGGAATAATCCTTGAATTCCTGGATTGTATTTTGCTTGCTCTCACTTATCCTTTGGCCTATGGAGTTACTGTTAATAGTCTACTCAGATTTTCATGAACAGAATGGAGTTCTCCAACTAGGTCGTGGTACATAGAGATGATCTTTTTATTAGACAGGTCTATGTACTTAAGTAATCTTTTCTGACCCTTGACCTTCCCTATCTTTGAACGCAGACTGATAGTGTCAACATCCACATCGTTCGTCCTGGAGAATGACACTTCAGATTTGAGGGAAGCATTCCCTGAATTATTCTCTTCGAGAAGATTCCTTGTTTTCGGATTGCTCCGGATCAAGTTGAGTTCCTTATTTGAACTTGAAGGAACCATCTTTAACTTATTTATTAGTAATTCCAAGAATATTCTGGGGATGGTAATTGAGCAAACTAGTTGTTGAGCTTGCATTCACCCCTGGAACAAGAGTTTTAGCTAAGTTTTCCGCATGGGCTAGGTTAATAATTGGGTCAACATCTTCCTCTGATAGGTCACTTCCAGAACTTTCTGAATCTTTGCCTAATAAAATTTATTTATGGGATAAATCATAACTCTTACCAACAAGATGTTCTGCTAATCCTTTATTTTCCTTTTTAAGATTATAAATCTCATTCTGCATCTTCTCGATTTGCGCTTCGACACCATATTGTTTCTTTTTCAATGCATCAAATTCAGCATGGCTGATGATGCTGCTTTTAAAACTTTCTGAATTCAGCTTTATCGACTTTATGTACAAGTCTTTTCATGAAGATATCGATTATATCTCTAGAAATAGCTAATTTAGCTTACACTTCTTCCTTATTCTCAAGTCTGGAGACTCTCTCAGTGAGGAGTTCGAATTTTACAGGATCCACAGCAGAGACTTTTTCTTCAATCAGTCTTCTGAATTCTTTCTCAATCATGATCCTGATGATCTCAAGCCTGGTTATGCTGACTATTTCTTTCTTGATGTTTAGTTGAACATCTATGTGTGATTAGGATGATTTACCTGAGATTTTACCATTAAGATTTTTGATCTCTCTGTCAAGATTAGCCAGCCGATCCCCTCTTGCTTTGAATTTAACAAGATTGTCAACGTAGCCTGCTATCCCTCCTTTTAGCTTCTCTGCTTTCGCATTATCTATGATTTCAATACACACCTTACTCATTTTCCCTGAATTTCAATATTTATGACATAAAAAGGGGTTTTGGGGTTTTGGGGTTTTGGGGTTTTGGGG